CACTGCACCTATACCCTTTCTTAAGTGAATTATATATCCGACTATATAGTTTTTACTTCTTGAGTAAAAAATACAATACGATTTTTTTTTTAAATGTTAATACTTAAATGTTTTAAATACTTAAATCAATTTTAACGGACTAAATTTCTATAACTTAACTAAAAAATTATATTGTTACAAAAATGTATAATAAGTAAATATAACATTATAAGTAAATTCAATATACTAAATTTTACTATAATCAAATAGTTTACTTTTATAAAACAATATTAGTTGTTTTTTTCGATACACAATAATGCTCCTAAAATATTAGGGCATTCACATGTCGCTGCTCCACGAAAATTTTTCCGCCGAAATATTAGTCGCTAGCCGAACATAACGGAGAGAAGCAAAAAAAATAACGGACCAGCCGAAATTTGTCTCTGGGAGCGCGGAGTGCAGGCAGATTATAAGACAAGAAAGAGAGGGAAATATCCGAATATCTGCCTCTCTTTGTTGCACGATCGTTTTCGTGGACAGTCTTCTACGCTGCGCCGACTGCTCTGCTGACGTCAACAGCGGCACAGCGTTTTAGGCACAAAAAAAAACAAAAAAAGCTTTTTGCCTTGAGCCATGTCACCGCGTCCCTACTGCAGAACTGAAGGGATAGCATAAACACATTATAAGTAAGTGTGAAATAACTTGCCCTACATAGGAATAACAACCAAATATTTGTCGCTAAAATACAATTAAATATTAAATGCAGTGAGCAGTGCAAATTAATTGCAGTTAGCATTTAAAAATAATATAAGTTTTTTGATTGCGCAAGGTTGCCTAGTTCCGTTATACATAGTAGCGAACATAGCCAAATAACGGACCGCTGTATCCTCGCCCTCTTTAAGTTCATCTTCCCGCTGAAGCCGAATTTCGGGCATTTAGTCTGAGGGTTATGTTGTTGCTGTCGTCATGCCTAGGGGAAATGTTAGAGATGTTACCGCTGACGCAAACAGGGTGGTATTTTTAAAACGCAAGGCAACTGCACTGTTTAATAGAGTGGAGCGTCTAGTGGACTCCTTATTAAGTGCAACGTTAACTTCAACAGACGAGTCCGGCCTTCACGTAAGGTTGGAGCTGTTTGATGATTTCAGCGGCTGGGCTGGAAACCATTCACTCGCTAAAAATTACGGATGGAAACCCTTCTACCTGTTACACACTTTCCGACGAACCTAGTATACCCTTTTACTCTACAAGTAACGGGTTTAAATAGGCCTTGTTTACACAACACTGACAAATTCATGAAATGATTTCAGATGACCTTTTAAGTTTTTTGAATCTTATATAGAGCTTAATAGAGTAGTAGACTGTGCCTCAGCATTTCGTGCGTTGGGACTGAATTCATAGTACCCTTTCATCATCAAATTCAAGAAACGGAGATTACGAAATAGCTAATTTCATGAATTCATTTCATGTCATAATCATCCCTTCAGTTCCAAAAAAAAAGTTTCACTTGTGAATCACCTTGGGAATAACCTGGGACATGTCCTCGTGCACAAGTGAAGAACAAGTGACGCTCCATATAGAAAATTGTATGGGATGTCCGCATTTTCACAAGTGAAAATTCAAATGAAAATTTTTCGAAGTCCTACGGGATTTCACTTGTTCCTTATACTCATTTTTCGTATAGCCTGTCACGAGCCGGTGACTCGTCCCAAGTGAATCACTTGGGAAAATCAGAATTTTTCCTTGAGTTTTCACTTGTGAAATCACTTGCAAGGGACACGTCCCAAGTGAATCACTTGTGAAAACCAGAATTTTTTCTTGAGTTTTCAATTATAAAACTATAAAATTTTAAATACATACATATTTAATTTCATTTTAATTCATTTTAATTATATGATATTATTTAGATTTTCAAAAATTGTACAATTATTGTTTCTGTTTTTATGCTTCGTAAGCTTATTTTTAACGTTAGTCATCGCCGTTCTTAAACCTTTGTCCGGGTCCTCTGAATTCTTGGCCAACGCTCCTGAAAAAACATATGTTTCAAAAATGCGTTTTATTTGTTTAATTGTATATTTACCTTTTATAGCTGTGTTTAACCCTTTGCAGGATTTTTATTGGCACAAAACATTTCGTCATCCACTTTCGGCTAACGGAACCCATTGAATACCTTCAAAATTTACGTACTTTAAACTAAGATCAATGCACAACATCTTAAACTTAATGTAGCACTTACCTGACTTTATTATATTAACTAAACGATTAAAGTAACTCTAAACGATAAAGTATCACTTAAACAGAATGCACCAAGTCTTCTCACCCCTTTACTAGATTTCTTTTGTTTTCTCTTCGCTGTTGGCGCGTGCCACTGCACCTATACCCTTTCTTAAGTGAATTATATATCCGACTATATAGTTTTTACTTCTTGAGTAAAAAATACAATACGATTTTTTTTTTAAATGTTAATACTTAAATGTTTTAAATACTTAAATCAATTTTAACGGACTAAATTTCTATAACTTAACTAAAAAATTATATTGTTACAAAAATGTATAATAAGTAAATATAACATTATAAGTAAATTCAATATACTAAATTTTACTATAATCAAATAGTTTACTTTTATAAAACAATATTAGTTGTTTTTTTCGATACACAATAATGCTCCTAAAATATTAGGGCATTCACATGTCGCTGCTCCACGAAAATTTTTCCGCCGAAATATTAGTCGCTAGCCGAACATAACGGAGAGAAGCAAAAAAAATAACGGACCAGCCGAAATTTGTCTCTGGGAGCGCGGAGTGCAGGCAGATTATAAGACAAGAAAGAGAGGGAAATATCCGAATATCTGCCTCTCTTTGTTGCACGATCGTTTTCGTGGACAGTCTTCTACGCTGCGCCGACTGCTCTGCTGACGTCAACAGCGGCACAGCGTTTTAGGCACAAAAAAAAACAAAAAAAGCTTTTTGCCTTGAGCCATGTCACCGCGTCCCTACTGCAGAACTGAAGGGATAGCATAAACACATTATAAGTAAGTGTGAAATAACTTGCCCTACATAGGAATAACAACCAAATATTTGTCGCTAAAATACAATTAAATATTAAATGCAGTGAGCAGTGCAAATTAATTGCAGTTAGCATTTAAAAATAATATAAGTTTTTTGATTGCGCAAGGTTGCCTAGTTCCGTTATACATAGTAGCGAACATAGCCAAATAACGGACCGCTGTATCCTCGCCCTCTTTAAGTTCATCTTCCCGCTGAAGCCGAATTTCGGGCATTTAGTCTGAGGGTTATGTTGTTGCTGTCGTCATGCCTAGGGGAAATGTTAGAGATGTTACCGCTGACGCAAACAGGGTGGTATTTTTAAAACGCAAGGCAACTGCACTGTTTAATAGAGTGGAGCGTCTAGTGGACTCCTTATTAAGTGCAACGTTAACTTCAACAGACGAGTCCGGCCTTCACGTAAGGTTGGAGCTGTTTGATGATTTCAGCGGCTGGGCTGGAAACCATTCACTCGCTAAAAATTACGGATGGCATGCTATTGCTTTAGGTTTTTTTCAAAATAGATATAATAATTTTCGTTTGGTTTTTAAGGCACTCATTACAGAGATCCTGAAGATAAAGGCGCTGCGGAATGGTTTCTTTTCGATTCCCCGTGAGCTGAACGTCTATCAACGGAACAAATCGCAGGGTGCATTGTCGTCCAAATACAGCTTCAAAAGCTGGATCCGGAAAGTCAGCCAAAAGAGAGGAGCGTCTGGAGAACCCTGCTTTCGTCAATTTCATTCCGAAGTGGGAATCCATTGCAACCTGTTTAGAGCAACGATGCAGAACGTTGAAGAGAATGGATTTTGCCATGCCAAACTATGCGCCGGGAAACCAGGTGGGAAGTAACCGATTTTCCAATACTCGTTGATCTGCATTTATTGACACAAATCTTAACCAGTGGATCTGTGCATACCGTAATGATGCTGTTCACTCTGTTTACCATTTTCAGAATTTTAAAAACTTTACTTCTACGAATTGCCTTCAGGAGGCGAAATGGTTCGCCCTTTGCAAAAATTGCCTCAAGAGTGGTCACCGGGTAAGACTCTTCTGCTCCGGAACCAGAAGTTGATCCTTCGCCTCGACGATAGCCTTAAAATCAAGAACCATGGGCGACCGATGGTGCTCCAGATCCGCCAGTTGATCCCTAATCCGATCCACCGCACTACCAGCTTTCTGGGTAAACCCCCAGCCAGAGCCATCCGCGGTAACTCCGTAGCACCCTCTACGCCCGTGGACCAAATGTCGTCTTTTTCGTCGCCAGGAGGACCCATCGTAACATGATAAACATGATAATTAAATAAGACAACAAATAAATACGATAATAAATAATATAAAAAATAACAAAATAAATAAATAATTACGAAAATAACTGATAGCAAAAATAAATAACAATAAACAAATCTTCATCACTTTCTTACTACTCTGGACTTGGGGAGATGGAACTAACCCTCGCCGGTGGCTTCCGACCTAACTTTTCTTGTTCTTTCTTTAAAACTCCTATTTTCCCGTCACCGCCTAGCCGTTCGTCAACTGAACTAGCTATCACTCAAGGTGATAGCCGTCAGTTAAGGCTGGTTTGGCTCCTGTTGGCTTTTCTTTTCCGTCCTCTCTTACAATTTTAAATCGAGGTAACCGTGCAGCGCGTAGGGATGCCACGGGTCACGATTACGCAATTAAGTTTACAACCGACATAAAATTAGAAATCCACGACGGGGAGAAAAGCACAGGAACCAAACATCCTAACAAAAAACATTTTAAATAAATAAATAACAAAATAAAAGCTTTAAAACAACTCTATAACAGAAATTATCACAGATTTTCCGCATCCACAGATGCCGCTAGCTCAGTCTTATCTCAGGGGCAGGGTACCCCTAATGCCACAGCTCGCAACATAAGTATCGACAACTCCGCTGTTTCACATCACTAATCTATCGGTCATCACTAAGGACAAAAACGTACACAAAGGTAAATATCTACAAACATAGACATATCTCAGCCTTTAAGACCGAAACCTGGCCGCCGTCTTTAATATTTACGCGGTCAAAGCAGAGGATTGGTTTTGCTGGAAAACTATGCTCTACCAGTCATGTGTTGGTAGAGCTCGCATGGAAACACAGCACTCAAAAGAACATACGCGATGTGCGTGTGTATGGTCACCTAATCCTGAGGAGCTCCAGGGGAAAAGAAAGGACAGGCCAAAAAGGTACGTAACTACACTGTAAACTATACCATCTAACTAATGCTCGCGACCTTTTTGCTTCTAGGCAAACAACGAGGACAAATAAGGCTCTCGGGTCTAACTCCGGATAAATTCACAAACAGGGATGTAAATATCAATATATATAATCAAGGTACACGTGTATTTCATTTTTCCTAAATTTCAGCCACTATTGGGCCGGGCCTGGAGGGCTATTATAGCCCGGCTGAAGACTTCTTGCCGGAGGTCAGCGGCTATACGGATCTCTACACAGGAAAACTGGCGCACTAGGTGAGTTGCGCAAGGGCAGTCTGAGATTCGGCCGCCCGTAAAAACGGCGGTACTTCTCAACGCCGCGATGCGACGGCTGGAAGTCACCGAGATGAGGTGGACGTGGTAGACCGGAACGGACTCACCGGGAAATGCTCGATGTCGTCGGCGTTGTCTGCGAAATGCGTTTATTGCTGGCCGTCTGCGCGGGTCGAACGGACACCGGTTGCTGGCAGCCAAGTCGGGGCTGGTACGTATGGCGAAGTCGCGCAGACATCAGTGAAACTTCCAAGTAAATATCCCGGGGTCCTTTGTGTTGGGACCCCGGCTGCTATTATAAATGGTTATTAATAAATAGTGAACTACCATGTAACTTTCCAATCACTCACTATTATTTGATCTTAAGCACAAAAAAATGTATTCTAGCACTTCCAGCTGCATCTGCCTGGTTGGACAATATGGCTGCGAATATCTTGATATCTGCTGATCATCGATCCTACCCCCGCCATATTACATGGCCTCTCTCAAAATTGGGTCATTGGATACATTAAGGTAATCCCAGAGCGAACCGGGATTAATCCTCAAATGGCCAGATCGCCCGCCAGATTCATCCCGCTGCTGCAACTAGCGCCCTATCGATAAAGACCCTCCCATAATCGACTCCAATTGCAACATGGTTAATCTTACAATGAGTGTATAAAAGGTATTAAAACTAGTTCATTATCATCATACGACAGGTGCAGATATTTAAAAACAATATCTGTAACTGGATAAGATTCAATGGCTTCCATCAGTGGTGGAATCATCCGAATAAATCGCTATTGACGAACTTGCCATTGGCACAGTGAAAAAATCTCGTTTGTTTGCAAATTGCTGACCCTTAATATAACAGGTTTATTCTGAATTTATTCAATATTCTGAACGTTTTAGTTTTTAGTTAAAAAATGGTTAATGGTAATTTTCCGAAGGTTTGCAAAATGTGGCCCTTTTTAACTTTCAAAAACTATAACGTGGTCAAAATGACTCGGATTTAAAAGTTTTGTGGAATGACTTTATTGTGATCTGCATTAAAATTTGTATCTTTAAAGGTTGTCAATATCTTGACTGTTCTTATGTCATTGTAGGTAATATTCCGAGGGTTTGCAGGAAATGGGCTTCCGTTTAAACTTTCAAAGCCCGTAAGTTGGTTAATAGGACTAAAATTTCAAAACGGCTTACCTTATAAAGTTTGTAGAATGATTAGTTTTTGATCTTCATTAAATTATTTAACTGTAAGTAATATTTTTGCGAAAGTTTGCAGAAAATGGTCCGGTTTTTACCTTAAAGCTTACAACGTGATCAAAAAGACTCGGATTTAAAAGGTTTGTGAAATGACTTTATTGTGTTCTGCATTAAAATTTGTATCTTCAAAGCTAGTCAATATTTTTACCGTTCTATGTCATTGTTATACCCGTTACTCGTAGAGTAAAAGGGTATACTAGATTCGTCGGAAAGTATGTAACAGGCAGAAGGAAGCGTTTCCGACCCCATAAAGTATATATTCTTGATCAGGATCACTAGGCGAGTCGATCTAGCCATGTCCGTCTGTCCGTATGAACGCTGAGATCTCGGAAACTATGAGAGTTACAATACTGTGATTAGGCACGCAGATTCCTGAGATTCCTGCGCAGCGCAAGTTTGTTTCAGTAGAGTGCCACGCCCACTCTAACGCCCACAAACCGCCCAAAACTGTGGCTCCTACAGTTTTGATGCTAGAATAAAAATTTTAACTGAAATGTATTGGTCTTGTCAATACCTATCGATTGATCCAAAAAAAAAACGCCCACAAACCGCGAAAGCCTGTGACGCCCGCAATTTTCATGCTAGATAAAAAATTTTAACTGAAATGTATTGGTCTCGACAATACCTATCGATTAGTCCAAAAAAAATTTGCCACGCCCACTCTAACGCCCATAACGCTTAAATCTGTATACCGCCGGTAGGTGGCGCATTTTATTTCGCTTTGCTGCTTGCATATCTCCATTTAGCTGAGTAACGGGTATCTGATAGTCGAGGTACTCGACTATAGCGTTCTTCCTTGTTTTTTTTTTCGAATGTTTGTTGAAAATAGCCCTCTATTTTTCAAAAGAGCTGGGACTTCGAGTTGGCATACCTAAAAGGGTTTGTATAAGAAGTATGTTGTGATTTGCATTAAAATATTTATCTTTAAAGGTAGTTAATGTTTTTACCTTATTTTTGTCATTGTTTTGACTTGACTTGGTCAAAAATACTCCGATTGTGGAATTATATTGTTGTAATCTGCATTAAAATATTTAACGTTCCGACCTATCTTTTCTTGCGCTTTCTCCAAAACTCATTGGTCATTGGTCTGACTGTTCGTATGTCATTGTTGTTAATTTTCCAACGGTTTAATAATAAATAATTTGGTCAATGGGACTCGGATCTCGAAATGCTATGCTGCTGATGCAGGTTTACACGGCTGCAACCGCGACTCTCAGCCTGAGGACACCTTATGCAAGAGCCAAAAAATGAAAATTGGTTTTTTGAGAACTTACGGATGTGAAAGAGTAATTTTTTGAGCTGTGCGAGTTGCTAGGTCCTTACTTACCGATGCAGAGCATGTTTCTAACCGTTCCAGTTCCCTTGGAGAAACAAGTTGCGATCTGCGCATACAAACTGGCGACATGCGCCGAGTATCGAGTGATTGGGAATGTTTTTGGGGTACATAAAAGTACTGTGCACAAGTACTTTCATATTGTTGTTAAAGCAGTATTGAATCTTATGAGTGATCTAATTTCATTCCCCGAACTGGATGAATGCATTTCAAAAAATTTGTCGCATTCCTAACGTGATTGGAGCTATTGACGGTAAAATGCCTTCTAGAAAATGAATTACAAATTATAAACGCTACACATAGAGAATTATTCAAGAAATTTGCAATCAAATTGAGAATTTTTGTACTCAAAAATTCAGCATGAACAAAAATTCTCACTTTGAGTGCAAAATACTCCGATTCAGTACAAATTTTCTGAGAAACTGAGTACATTTGTGCTCTTTTGAACATTTTTCCTCAATATGACTAAAAAACGGAACTCATTTTAAGAAATAATTTAGCTTAAATTTTAGAAACGAGTATCCCTTTCGTCATACTGAGAAATTTTCAGCGCTCAAAATGAGAAACAAGTTCTTGATAGTGAACTTCTAAATTCTCAAATGAAGAACTTTTGCACTTAAACTCGCTCCACCCATTCCCAGAAAAAAGGGTAAAATATTTTCTTTCATTTAATTTTGTAATTCAGTTATATATTTTCATACATATTATTTTGTATTTAAGTTTGTGTTCCATGTTCTAGGTGATGATATTTTTTCCCTTAGCTGTCTGGCAAAGAGCAAAGTGGCTGAAAAAGAAAACGTTATTGTTAGCAAATATTGTAAATATATATGGATATATAAGCATGAAAGAATAAAATTAGAATGTTATTAAATGTACATTTAAAAAGCACTTTTGAAAATGATATGTCCATGTATGTATGCACAATGTACATAGAAACACGTGCTTCACGCCGCTTACAGTCACACATACATACATATTGGTGTACACGCTTTGCCAATATTTGTTTGTTTGTTTATTGTATCATTATTTAGCACATTATTGTGGGCGCCACAGGTTTGGGCTGTTTGTGGACGTTAGAGTGGGCGTGGCATTTTTGCGTAACAAATTTGCGCTGCGTGCAAGGCTACGGAATCTAAACCTGAGATCCCATTTCTCTATCTTTGATAGTTTCCGTGATATCCGCGTTCAAATTTACGATTTTTGAAGTTTGTAGGCGTTAGGGAGGGCGTGGCAAACTTTTCTTAGGTCAATCGATAGATATTGACAATACATTTCAGTTCAAACTTGTATTCTAGCATCAAATTGTAGGAGCCACAGTTTTGGGCGGTTTGTGGGCGTTAGAGTGGGCGTGGCAATTTGCTGAATCAAACTTGCGCTGCGCAGGAATCTCAGGAATCTGCATGCCTAATCCCAGTATTGTAGCTCTTATAGTTACCGAGATCTCAGCGATCATACGGACATGGCTAGATCGACTCGGCTAATGATCCTGATCAAGAATATATATACTTTATGGGGTCGGAAACGCATCCTTTTGCCTGTTACATACTTTCCCACGAATCTAGTATACCCTTTTACTCTACGAGAAACGGGTATAGAAACTTACCCTCGAGGTACGGAGGGTCGCACGAATGTCCAATTCATAAAATAGTTTTTTAGCTTTGTGTTACGCGCACGTCTTGACTTTGCTAAATCACACGGAAAATGACAGTCACACAAATGCGTCGCGCACCACTTTCCACACCCATTAGTGAGAGAGAGACAACCATATATGCAACAAACTAAAGGCCGCTCATCTCTTGTCTCGTTTGCCGAACTGATTTAAAAGAAGTAATCTAGATCTCATTATGAGAATACCCAACTCTTTTTTGAGTTTTTCGGTAACTCAATATGAGAATATTTATCCTAAGTTCGAAATTGAAGAGCTATTTCCTCAAATTGAGAATATTGAGATCAATTCAAGTTTTTTTTCTTAAAATGAGCTTTTTCCTCAAATGTTGTACTTAAATGCAGTACATCCTCAAATTGAGTATACAATAACTAACTCGCCATAATTTTCTCTGTGTATATATCATTTAATTAGGAACACACATTCCTTTTAAAGCCCCAAAGATTGGCTACCTGGATTTCGTTAATCGAAAAAGATGGACATTGATGGTCATGCAAGCTGTAGTTGACAACAATTACTTGTAAGTAAAAAGGACTTCGAAATGGCATACCGTAAAAGTTTTGTGAAATGATTAAGTTGTGATCTGCATTTAAGTATTCATCTAAGGATAGTCAATACTCAAGGTTATGGTGGGCTAAATGGAATTTCTCAATTTTTTTCATACGGCACGCCGCAATACAAAATGCCTGTGCATAATTATTCAATTATCTGTACGATTTTGATGAAGTAGATCGTGTAAAAAATTTTCGTCCTAAAAGTTGGTATTAGAACTTTTGTATGTTGAAGGTGCGATGTGTTTGGTATCAGAAGTTTGTAAAGAGATAATTTATTTTCAAGTGTTAGTTTTCATATTAGTATACCTCAGTACCACCACCAGAAGTCATGTCGATAAACACGAAACTGAACTCCAGTGTAAGCGCCGCATAAAAAAAACAATACTGCGCATATATGGCTCATCTCAATAGTTTTACACAAAGCCTAGTACTCAGATCTACTAAGAGCTTCACTAGTCGAAAAATCGTAGTTCGCAGAACTTATTCTCTATGGTTGTCTAAGCCTGTAACATTGAATGATGCCGTTGTTGGCAGACTCGACAAGTAGTCAGTGATCCACAGCTTTCTACCTTATGACCTCTAGACAAGCAATTTGTGCATTCTCTTCTTTGAGTAATAGCTTGGAGCAGCGTTTTTGGTGTTCATTTCCTGAAAACGGACACACGTCCTATTTGAAATATCTTGCAGCCTTCTTCGCGGTGGACTGATTGATTGCGTTGGAGCGTTGTCGTACGTTGTGCGTTTATCGTGTCCAGCAGGCAAGTGCGGCGTCCAATAATCGTCAGAGCACTCGTTAAGACTGGAATTTTTATTGGCGCATCTACTGAATTTTTATAGTGTAGCTAGAGTATCCTACTGTAGTCTTCTTCTGATAATCCATTTCCTGAAAACGGCTATTCGCTCTAAAGTAACGTTGTCCTAGGTGATAAACCTTTCAGCTCTCTTCGCGGTGAACTAATTAACGTTGGAGCGTTTTTGTAGGTTGTGCGTCTATCGTCTCCAGCACGCAAGCGCGGCGCTCAATAGACGTCAGTGCGCTCGTTAACACAGGAATTGTGCGTCTATCGTCTCCAGCACGCAAGCGCGGCGCTCAATAGACGTCAGTGCGCTCGTTAACACAGGAATTTTCGTTGCTGCATCCAATGCAGCTAGAATCTGTTGTTCTAGTTTTCTTCTGATAATAAAACACGTGACTGTATCGTTTGATCTTCGCGGTGAACTAATTAACGTTGGAGCGTTTTTGTAGGTTGTGCGTCTATCGTCTCCAGCACGCAAGCGCGGCGCTCAATAGACGTCAGTGCGCTCGTTAACACAGGAATTTTCGTTGCTGCATCCAATGCAGCTAGAATCTGTTGTTCTAGTTTTCTTCTGATAATAAAACACGTGACTGTATCGTTCGATCGTATGCTGATATCGAGGTTTTTGATTGTGCTTAAGGTTTTTCGCACTGAATCATGTAGTGCTCGAAGCTGTTGTACAGACCCGTTAATGGGAATGTAATCGACAATTTCTCCTCTCTCCTCTCCCTTTTGGTACCTTATTTTTAGTAGTAGCCAGGTGCCGTCGTATCCTCCTTGTCAGAAGGTGTTGTCTGTCAAATTGTTCCTTTCTTCACCGCGGAGTGAGCCTTGTAGAACATGTCGCTTCTGGCTGGCTGAGTATGGTTAACTATGTTTTAATTCCACAAGTAAGTCGTATAACCGGGGCCAATCTAGATATTCGCCATCAAGCTCAGAAACACTGATTGGCGGGATACATAAAATTAGGTTCTTTGGATGGTCATTTTCTCGAAGCAAGGCCATATTATATTCTTATATAAGGTCTGAAATAGACTTACTTCTTCTTTGGCGGAGGCCCCTGCCCAGGCTTATTATCAAGGTAATCATGGGCCTGTGCTGAGTGATAGTGGATGCATTTGACGCCAGAATATGAGATGATTCCAATTCGTTGCATCGTCTCTGTAGTTGACGAACAACCGTGTCAGTCGATGAGTCACTCCTGATTTTCTTGACTAACGGGTCCCGTGCGTTTTTCTGGATTCGCCGAGGTACCTTTTGAGCGCCGCTTGCTGACGCCATGTTGTCTTTACATTCTTGCTGATATTTCTATACTAGCTTCTTTTATCCTGGTTATCTCGAGGCATGCTCTTCTCCAGTGGGTTATGCCGCTTGGTGGACTTCTTCATCTAGGTCACAAAACTACTGCCAGAGATCGTTCAACTGGCTTAGTTTACCGGAATAATAACTGTTAGGGCGGGGTGGCTTGATCGCTGAAATTGGATGAAGTCCCAAGAACGAAAAATTCGCAAAAACATGGAACTTTAGAGTTTTTAAGCGACGTGCGCGTGCGTGTTTATTTTGACACTTTGAAAATATAACTAGTTAATCTTTGTAGCGCTGGTAGTCAAGTGGGTATGGCGAAGTATGTTTGCCATTAAAGTTTTATTCAGATTAAGAACTACAAAGTTTATTAATATTATCAAGACACGTGTGTCGCTCGCTGATTCTTGCCGATAAATCTCCGAGAGTTGCCACACCATTCTTTCTAGTCATCAGGCAAGCTTCTGTTGGCGCTGCTGCCATATTAGGTTGCCACATGGGAACAGAGCTGGCGCCATCTGTGTGTTGGTTGCCGAACTAGGAATAGGGGTAAGAGAAAGCGTAATAGGTCAACAGGGCAAGCGCTTTAGCGTTCTTTTCCATTTGAACCTTCCACCGATTAATTCGTGAAAACTATCGTCAACATTTAAGTGGTGATAGTATTGGGGCGAGCAGGCATATAAGCCTTTGCGAAGACTTTAAAATGGAAAAGGCACCGAATTTAATCAATTTCGCTGAGTCCATTGATTTGGGTGAGTCGAAAATAAATGAACAAGATCTAAAGGGTCCGATCAGCAGCACTTTATGTGATTTATAGGGGCTCGGCGATTATAAAACAAAAAAACCAAAAAGTAGGAAAAGTTACGATGTTCGATACCGGCGGGAACACTTTGGATTTCAACCAGGTGAGTGCACCAGAAGTTCTCATTGGAGTGCGATTTGGAGAAGGCGACCAGTAATTACGCGACTTACGATCGGCGCCGAGCACGAAAAAATCGCTGGACGAAGAAAAGGGTGTTAATTTCTTGCGCGAGGTTATAATTTAGCCCTGTCCCGACTCCGTTTTAAGCTGGGGGAAAATAGTAAAAAAAATCCCCATTAAATTGTGCCCGTAAGGGATCTAAAACCCATCGCGGAAAACAAGCGGGAAAAAAAGAAAGACCATTTAACCTCACATATTGGCGTGAAGGAGAAAGAAAAGTGAAAAAACAAATAAGAGAGCGAAAAGAAGAGTGACGGAATAGAGTCGAGCTAAATTTATATTTTTTTTGTTATTTATAAGTAAACAAAAAAGTTTTGTTATATGTTCTTTTAAGGTGTATTTTGTGAATTGTTAAATTGTTTGAGCCTCTCGGTAAGCTGCCAAAACTCCGGCCTTGACTCCCATTTTCAAAGAAAAAAAATAATTGCATGGCAACTTACCCCATATAAAAAGAAAAGAATATTTATACCAGTATATAAGATT